AGCCTTCCTAACATCCATGTCATAACCATCAATGCCTGAAGCAATAGCATCCTTGACGACCTGATCAATTAAAAACACAATTGTAAATGCCAAAAAGTCATATACCAAAAAGAGTTTTTACAATGAAAGAAACCGACCTTCTCAAACAGGCCACCGCAGATATCAGCATGAGCCGCTTCAATAGTTTGCTCTGGGATACAAAGCATGACTCTCAACCGCAGCAGACTTTTGACATCCGCGTCACTAAGCTCTCCATCAGCTATGCATTGCTGAAGCTTTTGGCGATATATTTCTTAAGAAATAGGAAACAAGTCTCTTTCAGAAAAGAAGCAGAACCACAGAATGATAAATTTTGGACCGAGTAATAGACCATATTGAGAAGACAAGCTATTTACCTTCATGAATCTCTTTTGCTTTTAGTGGATCAAAGTGCAATTCCTCACATAGATTCTGTAAGAAGGCTGCCTTGCTATCTGCAACCTCCAAATCACCGCCAGAAACTGCCTGTGAAAGACGTTTTCGGTAAACCTTTGAGGTAACCTCAAGTGTGATCGCCTCTGATTCTCTTTTACCCAGACCAAATATATTCTTTAACTGGTTCAATGAGGCAACCTGCAAAATAGGAAAGAGGTAGAATCATTATATCACATGAAAAACGTAAGAATTAATTTATTTAAGTAAATGTTGAAGCTAGTACAGAAGTGAAAGAGTTCACCCCCAAGCAATGCGACAGAGAAAAATAAAGCTTAGACCCAGTGTAACAACCAAACGAATAATGTATGCATGAATAACATCAACAAGTATGATAAGAACCTCAGGCAGAGCACAATAATTTTTGTTGTAAACCAATGATGACAAAGTACCATATAATTAACTTAATGTAATCCCGTAAAAGAAAGTAACAAAATTTTAATAACTTTAATATGACTAAGGAATCCTGTATTTCACCATTCTTTCTTTTTTCTGTTAACAAAAAGAATGTTCTAATGTGCAATGGAAATTTTGAACAAAAAGTTCACAGAAGACTATACGAAGTAGCCCAGGAGCAGGTTTCAGCACAGAAGTGCAACCAATGGTATACCAAAAGAGCCTAGAGCAATGCAATTAGTTCTCTCTTCAATTGCTCGCCCAGAAAACTCTCAAAATTTCCACAACCACATGCAAATAAAATAACACTGCTTTGCATAACATTCTAGTAGATCACTAATAAAGTTTCACTAATCAAACACAGCGTTTCAATCATTTATAAGTAAATAGACCATAGTATTGAAACAACCTTATCATCCGAGAGGTTATACTATGCCTATCCCAATACAATACAGAAATGCTTGACACAGGAAAAGACAGCCTTTCGTAATAAGGTTCACCTTACTATCTTCCATCCGACCACTAGATAAAGCATCTGTGACATAGATTCTGTACAGAAGTTTCAAGTCATCCATTTTTCTGTCACTAGCATACTCACCACCTGATCAAAATCAGCATGGTATGTTTGAGCTTATGCATCATAGGTATATTGGAAGCACTGAAAGAAAGAGTTGAACTAAGGATAAGACCTAGTACAGACACTGGACCAACTCCACGAGCAAAACGATCGGCATCAGCATGGTTTTTCAGAGAAATAAGTCCATCATTGAATGCGAGAATCACATCAATTTCTTCCACTACTTGCTTCAATCCTGTGCTGCAAAATAAAATTGATTGTTATTTGGAGAAGCCGAAACCTAATGTTTACTTTCATCATGATAGTAATAGCTCAGTTGGTTAAAATATTAAGTATTATTAGATATTGGAAAATCCATACACTAGTAACTTTTGGAGTCAACCTAAAACGTACTAACAGTTAAGTTGGTTGATTTTGATCTTACGCTGCTTTTGTTCTAGTCTTCAATATATCCAGTGCAGCAGAGATGTTTCCTTCAATCAGCTTCCTTGTATGGTTCCGGAATAAGTCCTCTGCGAGCTGTATGAAACATAACATTGATTGAACAAAAGTTTGCTAATTAGAACAAAAATAGATAACCTGTAAAGTACCTCGTCGGAGAGTCGGTATGAAAGTTGTGATTCTCTGAGGCTCACGAGCTGCTCCACGTCAATATCTGAAAAAAGGAAGAGAGGAAAAGACAAACATATTAATCCTGAAATTGCACGAATGTTTAAAGTCCAAAATGATGATAAGAAACCAGCACACAGTTGCTAACAAAAGACAACTTCCAGCAACAATCCAAACGTCATTTCATCAATCTGAAATCAAGATAAACAATTATTCACGGCCCCTTAATTCACTTTCCTTTTCAAGAAGCATGATGCCTTAACATCCATATTCCTTAAACAAAAGGAAGCAAGTTCCCTCCTCAAGCACAACAGGAGACAACAAGCCCAACAGCTGATCACTCCAGTAAGAAATTGACATAAGCTCTAAATCTATAATACTTTCCCATGAAAAGTGTAGAAGTACATGGGAAGAGCAGATGCTAAAGAACATTCTAGAAAGTGAACATAAAGAGCAGCTAAGCACACAATTTGCTTCATTGAGGAGAGCATCTAATTCAGTGTGTGATTGACCAGGCAGGACTTTATCCTTGCATCCATAAGAACATCACATTTTTCCACCTGCATATCTGATCCCCCCATTGGTAGATATCTGAATCGTAGTTGACAACCGAAAATCACATACATAATTGGACAACATACAAACATATTAAATTTGCAAACCTCACTCACTAGTTGCTATGAAAATGAGGAAACAGAAGCAATGAAACAAGTATTGTTGAGACTCGAAACAAAAGTTGCATTTACCTTTACCAACTGATTTTAGCTTGGAAGCATACAATCTCTGAGCATTATCACGGATCGAAATTTCAACCTGGAAAAAGCATTAAACAGTGACAACGCTGCAACAGATCATGGAAACTATAAAATAAATAAAAATCACGCACCAAAGAAAACAGATTAAAATAATAAAAATTCTACGACAATGACATTCGGGCATTAACTATATATGCAAAATGCAAAGAAGGCTTAAACCAGTGACCAATAATGAGCCAATACCTGTGAATCAGTGACCTTGAACACCCTCTTCCAAGGTAAGAGGAAGGATGATGCTTCACCAAAAACAAGCGATGAAACATAGACCAACTTCTGAAATGCCTGCACTGGAAATTATTACAAAATGATCAAGCACCAAACATCAATCTGACAAAAAAAGATAAAGCTCAAGTACATTCCAGCTACAATAAAGAGTGCAACACTGACTTATGACTTACCCGGCGTTGCTCAACGTCTCCATCACGGTCGCCAGTTTCAAGCCTTTGCCTGAAAATGCGCCTACCGATCTGTATGCCAAGAACCATAATGACACATTAATCCAAAGTTTCCCTAAGATGCACAAACACAATCTTCAACATTCCCATTTTCTCTAACATGGAGTGATTATGCAGTACCTCCATGTGCATAGCAGCTGCATCAGGATCGTCAATCCCCAAAGCTTTCTTGAAGTTGATTATCGTTTCAACTTCATTGCCCTTAAGGTCTTCACTTCCAGGAGGTAGAACAGAGGAAACAAATCTAGAAGAGAAAAGCGTTCAATGCATTGGTGAAAGTGAAACGAGCTCTGGGACTTGAAAACAACAATGTCGCCCTGAACAGACTATATGAACTCACCTGCAGTACAATTCTGAAAGTTCTGCACTGAACACTTGGTCTGTTTTGCTCACACCATATCTGAGATTTTAAACATTGGAAAACCAAAATTCAGAAACTTGCTGATTCCAAAGACCTAAACAAGAAATTGCAAGGCACGACTGGAAGGAACTAACTTTTTGGCAATCTGTTCAATTTCCTCCTTCTTAACTGCTCCAGGGTCATCGAAACCAGCAACATAGTTATGCAAACTAGCGGCTGCAACCTCAGGAACGGAAGCATTCAAAGCGTACACCATGGCTCCACCGGCAGCGCCCAAAACAGCCGCCCCACCCAGAGCCAAATTTCGGGTTCCGCCGAGTCGTAGCCCCAAACAGTAACCGGCAGCCACAGCTCCAGCCAGTATAACAGTGGAACTCGCTAACCTGAGCGGGGGAGAAAGGCTATCGACCAAGGGCTGAATCCCGGTCAACTCCTTCCTCTCTCCGAAAACACTGGTGGTGGTGGTGGTGGACGGTGTAGCGGAAGCAGCCGAGTCATCAGACGGCGATGGATCGGCTGAGTTGCGAGGGAAGGATACTCTCACACGCCGGCGGGAAGGGAGGGAGAGAGACGAGGGAGTGAGACGGAGAGGCGACTGGTTGATGAAAGGAGATAACAGCGCCGGCGTGGAGGAAGAAGAAGACGGAGTGACGGATAATGGATTCATTATCGCCGCGGCAGCGAAGCTACTTCAATCCCTCCGGAGATATACAGATTTGTATTGTAAGAGCGCCTCTACTCTATGAAATTTGTAGGGTTTAACGAAGGATTCAGTGAGGGAGGGGCGATTAGGAAGGAAGGAGGAGGAGGAGGAGGAGATAAATTGGAGAGCATTGAGCAATGAGCATAGGCTATTAAAATAAAATTAAACCAAAGTTGTTGAGATGGGCCCGCCGGACAACAAGGCAGAAATGGCAGCTGAAGAACAAACGGCGCCGTTTTCAACTATTATACAATCGTGGGCTGCGTATCGGAAACTCTTTCTTTCCCTGTTGTCGGGAACGGTTGCGCTTAGGGGTGGCAGTCGGTCGGTTTCGGTTTAACCAAAAACACGGTTACCGGTTAGTCGAACCACTTCACAGACCATCCATCAACCGACCGAGTAAAAGCTCATGGTTAGCCGACAACCGACCAGCTGATTTTCGATTTTAGGCTCGGTTAGCCGTATACCCGAAAAATACCCCTTCTCTCCCAAACGCTGTCGCTTAAGGGAAATTCATTAAAAAAAATTCATCTACCGCAGTACCGTCCAATCCTTATCTCCAACTCCAAAGTTCTCGATCCTTCCTTCGAAACCTCCATTTCAGTCTTCAGATCTATCCACACCGTTGGCCTTCTTCTTCTGCAAATCCCAATTTCGGAGGGTGACCGGCAAGGTGAGTGTTAAGGGCGACCGATGAGTGCTTGTCTGTTGTACTATTGTCGCCTGTCTCCATGTCTCTGCTCGACGACGACGAGCTGCGGCAAGGCAAGTGTGAGGGCGGAGGAGCGGAGGTTTGGCTGGTGGCATGAAGCTCGACGGCGAAGGCAGACAGAGACGAGACGAGCGAAGGCCGAGGCAAGACGAGCACTGCGGCAAAGGCTGACGCGCGCGTAGGAGGACGCACGATGGACCGACGACAATCTGGTGTTGAGGAAGGGGATGACGACAGGGGAAGAGAGGAAAGGTAGGGTTGGCCAGTTGGTGAATGGATTGGTGAGAGTTGATGAAGGAGAGTGGTCATTTTGGTGGAGGCGGATATATTTTTTGTGGAACAGCATCGTGGGGAGGGGGGAACGGTGTCGTCTAGAGTATGGTGGGAACCCTCGGTTGGTTACTTTGGTTAGACGAGTAATCAAAGACCGAAGCTCCTTCTAGACACTCCGACCACTGATCGAGGATTATTAGAGTCGGTTTTTGGTTACCCGCTAACCGACGGTTATCGGTTGGACTAACTGGTTAGCCGCTAACTGGCAACCGAACTGTCACCCCTAGTTGCGCCATTGTTGTCTGCTCTGCCTCTCCAATCTCTACTCCCCATAAAGTAAAAATGAAGCCCGCAACCGATGACCGGTAAATTCTGCAACCACTAATTCTTCTTCTACCTCCATTTATTCTTCTTCTTCGCTGCCGTTGGTCTGTGCAACTGGTTGTCCATATGGAACTTTGAATTCGTACAACAGATGTTTGATGAAATACTTGACCGCGGTGGTGTTCCATATTCATTCCCCTGCTACAGATTGCTGTGGGACTAGCAGAAGTAATCCTAACTTGGTTACTTACGAAGACCGCACCCTTAACTGTTTCCTTTATCCTTCGGTCCAGTTTGTTCATTAGGCGGAGTTGAATCTACATACCTGGAAATATGCTTTCTATGCAATACTCGTTTTCCCCTATCTTATCATGACCTGCCAAAGCTCTTTTAAACTTCCACAGTTAGGAATGCCATCTGAAGGGAGTTCACTTGCCTCAGTATGTTGCTATTGTTCCAATTTGTCTCCATAGCTGCTACTCAAGTTCAAACTGAGTCAACTCCGAGTCAGGACCACCATTCCTTCGCTGAAAAGTGGGAACCTTTCCGTAAGAAGTTGTTCGGCGAGTTGGCTATGTTGGAACCAGTTACAGTGGCCTCCAAAAGCAATATGATTAACATTCATTGTCTAATGAGTTCTACTGAGTCTTATATATGGAATCGCTAATTAATAGTCAACATAAGAAAGCTCCAACGCATTTTTCTTTGTCAAAAGTTAGATGTTATGGGGATTTTTGGTTTTGTAACCATTGAATCAGAGTTGGAAGATGCCATATTCAAAATGGTAGGATTCGTAAAAGTAGTTAACAACCAGAACCGTGAAGGCACGAGAAGCAGTGCAGCCGTAGGAGGACACATAGTTGATAACACTATGTTTACATATGATTTTTCCTTCATTTCCTAGTTGTTTAGCTTGTTGATTGGCGTTCTTTGGCCTATTTTACGCTAGGTTGTGTTCTTTTGTCATATTTCTATTTCCAGAAAATAAAATGAGGCGCAGGCGCAAGTTTTGGGTCAATCGGAGGTCGTTTGCCCACTAAAAAACCACTCAAAAGTGGATTTGAGGAAGAAACACATGCACGAGAAACACGACCGTGTTTTGTCCTCTCATACCCGTGTTTTAGGTGTCGAGAATAAAAAAGTGAAGGGCTGAAGCACGGTCAGAGAAACACGACTGTGTTTCTGCCTCCTACTCGAGTATAAGTGTTTTTCTGCGACTTTTGAGAGGAGAGGGTTGGATTTTGTATCCCAAACACCTAAGGGACAAACAAGATAGATAGATAGATAGATAGATAGATATATATATATATATATATATATAGAGAGAGAGAGAGAGAGAGAGAGCGACTTGGGAACATTATTGGAGCTGTTTTTGAGGATTTCTTCACCATCGGAGCTCAGGAATCAAGCTTGGAGATGGAGATTGAAGATCTAGATCATATTTATGCATTCTCTCTCTTGTCTATAGAGTAACTTCCCTTCACTTAAGTTTTGAGAAACCCTAGTTCCATGTGTTAGGATCTTTCTTGTACAAACATTTGGATGTTATACTGATTGGTTTTGTTCAATTGAGGCATGATTATTTGAGTCAATTGATTATTGATCACATTCTCTTAATTTTTGCTTTAACCTAGGAGAGAGAATCTGATTGGGATAAGAGAGTTTCTTCAAGTGGAGTAGTGAGTCGATTGTGTGAGAGTCAATCGATTCATTGCTCTGTAATGGAATTGATTTAAGTAGTGGAGATATTTGTGCATTGTCTTAGAATTTTATTCCAGTGGAGGCTAGTCGCCTGCCAGGTACTTTGTCTAAGAGGGCTTGGTCGGGTTAATAGATTCTAAGGTATTTTCGGTTCTTCCGCAATTTAATCACAAGTTAAACAAATAAAGAGAATTACAACTTGGACATGATTGAGAAGCTAGGGGGAATCATACCTAAGTAAGTTCTTAACCTATGATTAGTAGTATAATGATAACCTAGTTTAGCTTGTAGAGTAGTTTAATCAAACCTTAATATGATTTGCTAAATAATGAACTGAAGCTGAGTAATAGTAACTCTAGAGACCTGTGGATTTGTTATTTATTACTTGTGCCACTATACTGCAGTCCCTTTTACACTTGGCCATTGTTAGGAGTTGTGTTTTAGCGAGTCAAGTTTTTTGAGCCATTGTTGGGGACTTTGTAGATTATTAGGAAAAGCAGAAGGTTGTTAATTTAGCTTTTCTTTCTTTTGTTTTTCTTTTCCACCCTTGCTTTTCACTTGGGTATTTTTTTTTAAGATCTGAATATTGAATCCATATGGCTTTTTTAACTATTGGGGGTACCATTACCCGGTTGGTGTTACCCTGAGACTTCATGGGATAATCAGTAAGGAGAAGGCTACATATTTGGGTTCCAAGAAGAATAACCACCCTTCTACAATGCACAACAGAACCTTGGACATTTCAAGAACCACCTGTCTATCAAGAATATTTCCTTCCACAAATAGAGGGGCCATCAAAGCTGTAGTTTGCTATGGGGCGGGCCATTCTGCAGAGCCATGCTACAATCCATGACCAAAGTCAAAAAACCAATTGAAGCTTCTTGTGGAGCATTTTGCTCAAGATGCCAAAAGATCATGCTCCAAGATGGACCTTCATATCCAGACCATTGCCCAAACTAACTTCTCATTTCCCTATGAAACAGAGGAGTTCCTCCGGAGCATGAAGAAGAACATAGAGGTCATTGAGCAAGTTTGCGTATAGCTTGTTCAAGATCGCCTTTCTGCTACCATACAAGAAGAGGAGGAAGATGAAGAAGCCAACCATGAGGATGTTGAGGAGCATACATAAGTTGTCATGGAGAGCTCCAGTGATAACCATGATCAGGAATTTCATGTGGTGGCTGATCACCTTTCCCCATTTATGCTCTGACATGATGGGCACGAGCGAGGAGATGCAGAATGATTTCATTGAAGAAATTGTTGGGCGACTTGCTCTCCAGTCCGCGCTGGAACAAGAAGAAGAGCAAGAGAGGGTGAGGAAAGAAGTTGTGGAGGATGGCAAAAGTGAAGCAGAAGGATTCTTATTTTTTCCAAGGGGAGAGACCACATTTTGAAGAAGGAAGGGGGTTCAGGAAGCATTTAGCGTCCAGGATGAGGACGAAGTTGAGGTGGAAGAGGCTTGCACCGACCATGAGTTACTTGTGATATCTCCACCAAACTTCGAGGAGCTTCTTGGCATGGACTCATTTACAATGTCTCTTTTTTGTCAGACCAAGGCCACACCCTCACTGATCCCTCTTGGTGGATGCAATGGTGGTTAATCTATGTTGTCTTACATGATTTGGGGCAATTAGAGAAGAAAAGAGAAGGAGAGGTCTCGACGGTGGAGACTTCATCTGCATCAAGTGTAGGAGCCTTCATCATCTGCCACAACACATACTCATTAGTTGAGAATCCACCTCATCGATGAGAACGTCAACTTCAAAGAGTTTTTGGGGTGGACCAAAACTTAGGAGCCACCGTTCGGCTCATGACGTGAAAGAAGCGTTTGTTGGGAGGCAACCCAAACAGACGGTTTGCTTTGCTTCCATTTTCTCTTCGGTTAAGTCAGTTTTGCTTTGAATTTAGTGTCAATAACTCAACCTTTGTGAGTTTTTGTGTGGTGCTTTGAGGTTCCACCTACTCTCTCTTCCATGGAATGCACCTCATGTCTGATCTGCCATTCTTCATCACCCGAACCGGTAACTTCATTCTACCCTCCTTAATTTCTTCCATTGAAAACAATGTCATGCTTAAGTGTGGGGGTGTTCCATTAGATGTGGGTGTGATGAATGATGTATTTTTGTGCTTGTCTTGGAGCCTAGTCCACTGCCCAAATTTTAAGATTTGAGCGCTCCAAGTACCTTGTTCCTTGCAAATTGTCTTCTCGGTATCCTTTGAATCACTAGTATTGATGTTGATATGCAACCTAGGGAGGTCTGTGTAGCACTATGTAGGATGTTGATGCATGAGAAGTCTCTTAGTTTCTTCATACTGTGTTGGTCGATTGTGTTGACTAGTGGTATTAGGACATTGGATTCGTGCGATATTGTTGACTCTCTCTTGTTTTGTGGACTCTCATATCATGTGGGTGCCATAATTGTGCTTACTAAGAACTAGTTAGTCTTCCATGTTCAAAATTTGACACATGGGGTAAGCCCAATGTGTGTGCCATCGTTCATTGTACCAAATTGGGTTTTGGAAGAGACACTAGTTGATCCTTAGTGGGGAAGTACTACATGGTGATGTTACTTCCTATCTAGTACAAGTAAAATTTCCTCCCATAGAACGGATCGCCTACTTGATATTGTGTTTTAAGGGCATGGATAGAGCTTCTGACCCCCCTTAAATTCATTGACCCTTCACACGAATTGAGGAAAAAGATGTAAAAGAAGTACTCTGACAAAAGAGATGCATAAATTACTCTTGATCAACCAATAAGGCTTGACTATGAAACTTCAGGTTGGAACCCCCCAGTGGAAATGAATGAAAAAAATGAAACTCAAAGAGTAAGGAAAAGGGGTTCCAACAAATGAAATGAAGGTAAGAGAGAACCTGAAAAGATGAGTCCATGGTTATGTGTGGGGGATAAGCCAACGGTTAAGTGTGGGGGAATTTGGTAACACTGTATTTGCACATATTTTTTTCCTTCATTTCTTAGTCGTTTAGCATGGTGATTGGCGTTCCTTGGC